TTCAATCTTTTCCCCCACATTTACACTGCTCTGCATGAACATTCCAACTCCAGAACCCCAAACAACCCTCTCAGGCTAAAACTTCTTCAATTGATAGAGGCCCCTATACCATTTTGACACTGAATCAATCAAGCCAGACTTGAGTGCCTACTTCACACGTCTAATTCCGCCATTCAGCTAGCTCCTACACTGAAAAGCACTCACTTGCTCATTGACCCTAGGCATTTGCAGTAAAAAAATAAATATATATATATATATATATATATATATATATACATATATACTAGAATAACTGGCCCACAAAATATTATGAAATCTGGCTTCTGCACTCCAACAAAACAAGATTAAAGTCAAGGGGAAAAGTGTAAATAGTTTCATTAAAGCTGCCTTTATATACTGAACAAAAATATAAAACGCAACATGTAAGGCATTGGTCCCATGTTTCATGACCTGAAATAAAAGATCCCAGAATAGTATTTCTCTCAAATGTTGTGCAGACATTTGTTTACATCCCTGTTAGTGAACATTTCTCCTTTGCCAAGATAATCCATCCACCTGACAGGTGTGGCATATCAAGAAGCTGATTAAACACAATAATCATTAAACAGGTGCACCTTGTGCTGGGGGACAATAAAAGGCCACTCTAAAATGTGCAGTTTTGTCACACAACACAATGCCACAGATGTCTGAAGTTTTGAGGGAGTGTGCAATTCGCATACTGACTGCAGGAATGTCCACCAGAGCTGTTGCCAGATAATTGAGTGTTCATTTCTCTCCCATAAGCCGCCTCCAACGTCGTTTTAGAGAATTTGGCAGTACGTCCAACCGGCCTCACAACCGCAGACCACGTGTAACCACGCCAGCCCTGGACCTCCACATCTGGCTTCTTCACTTGCGGGATCGTCTGAGACCAGCCACCTGGACAGCTGATGAAACTGAGGAGTATTTATGTCTGTAATAAAGCACTTTTGTGGGAAAAACTCATTCTGATTGGCTGGGCCTGGCTCCCCAGTGGGTGGGCCAGGTGCCCAAGTTGGTGGGCCTATGCCCTCCCAGGCCCACCCATGGCTGTGCCCCTTCCCAGTCATGTGAAATCCATAGATTAGGGCCTAATGAATTTATTTCAATTGACTTATTTCCTTATATGAACTGTAACTCAGTAAAATTGTTGAAATTGTTACATGTTGCGTTTATATTTTTGTTCAGTATAAAATAGGAGTAAGCACAGAAATGTGTCCGCTGTAAAATGTTACACCTGTTATGGCTATAATTGCCACTGTCTGGCTGTCTTGGTAATGGTAGATATTATTATTCCATCACATTATGTTCATCAGTTCACACAGGGACCACATATTACAAGTCAATGACTGTACTTCTTGAATGGTTAATGTTGAATTTTCAGAACAGCAAGACCAATAGGCAGAAATGTATGGCTATGTATTAAATTATGTTATCAAGGCTTTAAGAAATTCAAGTATTTGAGGAATTAATTATATCAGTGTTTAATAAATTGTGTAGTAGCCTACACTTTAGTGAAACTTTTGTTCATACCAATTTAGTGAGCGTCTGACTGTTCTTTGTGCACGTGGCATTACATATCAGATGTTTATTTGGTTATAGATTATAGGATGACTTACAGTGTATCTTCTTTTCAGTTTGGAATGTACAGAAAGCGCATCTAAACCTCAATTTACAAACTCATTATAACCAATTGAAACTGCACTTTGCAATAAGGTATGGACACATTCAGTCAACACGAATAAAAAAAGTTAGAAACAACTGGTTGTTGGCTAATGTGAAAACTTATAGAAAGCAATGTAGAACAGAAGCCGTGATACACTATCTGACGACACCTGAGTGGAAATCCTGACACCATCTCAAGCCTAAATAATTGTTTTACATAGAAACACGCACACGTAGCCTACACTTTACCTGCGCGCACGCATGCACTTGATCCGAGTTTAGCCTACACTATTGCTAAATGCATAGGAAGTTAACTTACCTGCATGTGGGATATAGACTAGATACGATTATATAGGATGAGGACTGATAGTGCAGCTTACCTTTCCGTACTGTGCGTCTTTGGTCCCCAGGTCCGATACTTTCTGCCTACTGAGGAGTATCAAATACAGTAGTGCAGCAATCCAACAAAGCACCACCAGAGCCAAAGTCAGCTTTCGAGAAAGCCGTTTCATTTTCCTATGAGTTACTGGAGCAGATATCGCCCCTTTATTGGCGGGGCAATCTACGAGAAGCACATTTCCAGAAAAGTAGGTTCTGGAGACATGGTTTTGCGCTCTACTCTCATTCTCTGGTTCGTCTTCTCGAATGCTGCACGCTCGCTTGCTCCAGACGCGTGCCCAATGACTGCCCTGGTTGCGAGATTCTCTATGATCGAACTGGTAGCTAGGCTGTGAGCTATGACTCGCTGGAGCTACGAGGTACTACACTTGATGCAGTCCAGCTAGATCAAAATACGAGGTTTGGGGTACCTATAATATCTGAATGGGTTTAGCACCACCTACCGTGCCAATCATAATGTACAAGGTTTTGTAGTCTATTGTACTTGCGATGTTTATATCAATAGGACTTGATTCCACCCAACTTAATGGATATAGTCTTTAATTAATTATGCAGCATAGTTCAGCTCCAGTTTCTGTTTTTTTCCCAAGAGTTAAAGGGAAGCCTAATATAATACTGGTGACCATTACACAGGTGGGATGAGGTCTGGTTACAAAAGACTAATAGAATAGAATAGAATAGAATAGAATAGAATAGAATAGAATAGAATAGAAAATAGAATAGATCTTTATCGACAATTCAGTGGGCTTGGGCATAGGCTAGGACCTACTTCTTAAATCTCCAGATACACATGCATTCTCCACTCTACATTCTAAACTTGTATGTACATATTATACTGTACTTTTGATATTGTCTAATCACGCTAAGATTTACTTCTAGAATGAACTTCTAGACTTAAAGAATAAAGCTCAAATGGATCACAAAAGTATTGTCTTGTTGCACCATCTAGTTTCACCATCTAGTGGTGGTCAGTCGTGGAATAATCCATAAACCATTGTATAAACTATTGTTGTCCAGCAGGTGTCATACTGGTATTTCAAATAGACTGTAAGGAGAAGTATATACACTGAGTGTACAAACATTACGAACACCTTCCTAATATTGAGTTGCAGCCCCTTTTGCCATCAGAACAGCTTCAATTCATCGAGGCATGGACTCTACAAGGAGTCGAAGGCGTTCCACAGGGATGCTGGCCTATGTTGACTCCAATGCTTTGGGTGGTGGACCATTCTTGATACACAGGGGAAACTGTTGAACGTGAAAAACCTAGGAGCGTAGCCGTTCTTGACACACTCAAACCGGTGCGCCTGGCACCTACTACCATACCCCGTTCAAAGGCACTTAAATATGTTGTCTTGCCCATTCACCCTCTGAATGGCACACATACACAATCCATGTCTCAAGGCTTACATTTCCTTATTCAACCTGTCTCCTTCCCTTCATCTACACTGATTGAATTGGATTTAACAAGTGACATCAACAATGGATCATTGCTTTCACCTGTATTCACCTGTCATGGAAAGAGCAGGTGTTCCTAATGTTTTGTACACTCAGTGTATGTCCTACTATGGCGCTGGCCTTCTGCCCCCCTCTCTTTAAATTTGGACAACGGTGTCTACGACTTTTGACATCGCTGTAGGCTACATTCTACACCGTAGGCCAGGGTTCTTCAATTCCGGTCCTGGAGGGCCGAAACACTTCTGTTTTTTATTTCTACCTGGTAGTTAATTGCACTCACCTGGTGTCCCAGGTCTGAATTAGCCCCTGATTAGAAGGAGAGGATGAAAAACGGAGGTGTTTCGGCCCTCCAGGACTGGAATTGAAGAACCCCGCTGTAGGCCTTCCCTACACTTGAGACAAATTGTTGTATCGTCTCTTCCATTCTATCCTCCATTATACCCTCCATCATTTGTGGACTGCATCATCAGTACACTTTTTGTAACACTTTTGTATTTTACATTTTTATGTGAAGATTTTATTAAAATATTGTCATACGTTTTTTTATTAAAAAATATATAAATTCATCAAATGACACAAGCAATATAATGTATGTGTAGGCATATGAAAATGTTGACATAGTACTTTTCTATTTTCCTTGGTAATGTACGATGACAGCTTGTTAAAGACAAAAGTTTTGCAACTGATGACTAGCAATTTCGATGTTGTGATTACGCCTTGTTTGTTACATTGTATTACCACTAGAGGAGCAACAACAATGAGATGCAACTGGTCCCTCATCCCATCATCCGCCAATATGGCGCTGCCATCACTACCTTCAGTCGCTGTAATACTGGGTGGGGCTTTGCCAGTAGTTGGGCATTTCCTTTCGGATCAGGTTTCGTTGTCAGACAGGCATTTAAATCTGCTGCAGTAACGAAGCCGGGGAAGCCAGTGGCCGCACAACATTATACGCAGCAGTAGGAATAGAGCTTTATTATAGCTATATTGTTTTTCTTCATTTGACTCGAGAAGGTCTATTATTTAGCACAGTATTTTGAAGCTTCAACCGCATCAGTATTCAAATGTAAGACGAGATCACAATTTGACAGCTGAGCTTGATACGTGCATCATGTTCGGGATTCCTCTACAGCTTGAATGAAAATCGTGCATTATAGCTGTGATATGAAAATGTGCATGTAGAAATGATTTAGCATCGCTAGTATGTGTCTAGTTAATTAGCTGGCTTATAGTCGTCTGAATGCATCTGTGTCTCGTGTTTGGCTTGTAAGGACTTGAGGAACGCTTCCATTGAAGGATGTGTCTGCATAATGTTTGATTGAAAGGAAAAACAAACCATCTACTAAATCAATGACAAACATATCCTCCGAATTATTTGAATAGAAGACTAGAATAGAAATAGAAAAAACACCAATAGAGATCTCTATAGAGTATAAGGTTGTCCATTATCGAATTGCATCATGTTCAGCTGGTTGGGTACCGATGACAGGAGGAAGAAGGATCCTGAGGTCTTTCAGACAGTCAGCGATGGCCTCAAGAAGCTCTACAAAACCAAACTGTTGCCCTTGGAGGAACACTACAAGTTCCACGAGTTCCACTCGCCCGCCTTAGAGGATGCCGACTTTGACAACAAACCCATGGTTCTCCTTGTGGGGCAATATTCCACTGGAAAGACCAGCTTCATACGGTACGTCTGTGTTTGAAATGTTACTGGTGAGTACTTTGCTTGCCGATCAGTAGGCCAAAACACTAGAGAGTTATGCACCGATATGCAAACAGAGGGGACATTAAATGCATGGCAGTCACTGCATATTCACAGCTTGATGCAAGAATGAGCTTTTATTGAACAAAACAATTATCCTAGGGAGATAAATCTGTTAGTGTTTGGGTTGACTGGATGGTTGACTGGGTTCCAGTTCAACCTTGGGCAGACACAGGTCAAATATTGACATATGGTACTCTGACTTGAGAAGAGGGATAATACATTCCAACAGACAAAAATGCTTTCTTGGTTATACAGCATTCACTTGGTACTGTATAGATGAGTTTACAAAAAGATAGAAGTAGATTATGGGAATCTAGCGTTATCATATGTTATTATCATTGGTGTAAAGTACTTAAGTAAAAAGTACTACTTAAGTAGTTTTTTTTTTGTATCTGTACTTTACTTTAGTATTTATATTTTTGACAACTTTTACTTCACTACATTCCTGAAGAAAATAATGTACTTTTTCCTCTGTACGTTTTCCTGAAACCCAAAAGTATTCGTTACATTTGGAAAGCTTAGCAGGACAGGAAAATGATCCTATGTTCAAGAGAACGTCCCTGGTCATCCCTACTGCCTCTGATCTGGCAGACTCACTAAACACAAATGCTTTGTTTGTAAATTATGTCAGAGTGTTGGAGTGTGACCCTGGTTATCCGTAAATAAATTAAAATAACTAGAAAATTGTGCCTTCTGGTTTGCTTAATATAAGGAATTTGAAATGATTTATACGTTCACTTTTACTTTTAATACTTAAGTATATTTTTGCAATTACATTTACTTTTGATACTTAAGTATATTTAAAACCAAATACTTGAGACATTTACTCAAGTAGTATTTTACTGTGTGTGTGTGTGTGTGTGTGTGTGTGTGTGTGTGTGTGTGTGTGTGTGTGCGTGTATATGAGAGGGGTTGGGAAAATAAGCAGAGGACACATTTCCATCTCATATGGACTAAGTACACTACATGACCAAAAGTATATGGACACCTGCTCGTCAAACATCTCATTCCAAAATCAAGACCTCGCTTTGTGCACGGGGGCATTGAAACAGGAAAGGGCCTTCCCCAAACTGTTGCCACAAAGTTGGAAGCACAGACTCATCTAGAATGTCATTGTATGCTGTAGCATTTCCCTTCACTGGAATTACGGGGCCTAGCACAAACCATGAAAAACAGTCCCAGACCATTATTCCTCCTCCACCAAACTTTACAGTTGGCACTATGCATTGGGGCAGGTAGCGTTCTCCTGGTATCTGCCAAACCCAGATTAATCTGTCGGACTGCCAGATGGTGAAGCGTGATTGATCACTCCAGAGAACGCGTTTCCACTGCTCCAGAGTCCAATGGCAGTGAGCTTTACACCACTCCAGCCGACGCTTGACATTGCACATGGTGATCTTAGGCTTGTATGCAGCTGCTCGGCCATGGAAACCTATTTCATTATGCTCCCGATGAACAGTTCTTGCGCTGACGTTGCTTCCAGAGGCAGTTTGGAACTCAGTAGTGAGTGTTGCAACTGAGGACATACGGTTTTTACACGCTGCGCACTTCAGCAATCGGTGGTCCCATTTTGTGAGCTTGTGTGGCCTACCACTTCACGGCTGAGCCGTTGTTGCTCCTAGACGTTTCCACTTCACAATAACAGCACTTACAGTTGACCAGCTCTAGCAGGGTAGAAATTTGACGAACTGACTTGTTGGAAAGGTGGCATCCTATGAACACATTTAAAGCTCTTCAGTAAGGCCATTCTACTGCCAATGTTTCATGTGGAGTTTGCATGGCTGTGTGCTCGATTTTATACACCTGTCAGCAATGGGTGTGGCTGAAATGGCTGAATCCACTAATTTGAAGGGGTGTCCACCAGTGGAGGCTCCTCAGAGGAGGAAGGGGAGGACCATCCTCCTCAGTGAATTTCATACAAATTTCAATTGTAAAACATTAAAAAAGTTATCCTTTTTAGATAAAACTATACTAAATATAATCACATCACCAAATAACTGATTAAAACACACTATTTTGCAAAGAAGGTCTACAGTTGCCTCAACAACACTCTGTAGGGTAGCACAATGGTGTAGCTGGAGGACAGCTAGCTTCCGTCTTCCTCTGGGTACATTGACTTCAATACAAAACCTAGGAGGCTCATGGTTCTCACCTCCTTCCATAGACTTACACAGTAATTATGACAACTTCCGGAGGACGTCCTCCAGCCTATCAGAGCTCTTGCAGCATGAACTGACATGTTGTCCACCCAATCAAAGGATCAGATAATTAATCTAGTACTAAAAGCATAAGCTCCAGCTAGCTAGCACTGCAGTGTATAAAATGTGGTGAGTAGTTGACTCAAAGAGAGAGAAAGACAATAGCTGAACAGTTTTGAACAAAGTAATTTCTTCCAAATTGAAGGAGAAGCAAGAGAGAAATAGAGAGAGAGAGATTTAGTTTTACTTATGTCACGGCCGTCGTTAGATGAAGCGGACCAAGGCGCAGCGTGATATGCGTACATTCTTTTATTTCAGTACACAACACAAACCAAAACAACAAAACAAACGATACGTGAAGTCCTGGGTTGAACACAAACCTTCCGGAACAAGATCCCACAAAACATACATGCCAAAAGGCTGCCTAAGTATGGTCCCCAATCAGAGACAACGAGCCACAGCTGTCTCTGATTGGGGACCACCCTGGCCAACATAGAAATAAACTATCTGGAATGAAACGCATAGAAAACCAAATAATAAACCTACACACCCTGGCTCAACATTAAAGAGTCCCCAGAGCCAGGGCGTGACAACTTACTTAGCTAGCAAATGCAGCTAGCTAGTTCAGCCTACTGAAACACCCTGCTCAAACAGAGGGATGCTATGTTAGCTAGCTGGCTATGACTTTCCAACACAACACTGGAACTCTTCCAAGTCAAGGTAAGTTTTTGGTATTACTAATTTATTGCCAAGAAGCCCGCCGGTATAACTGCTTACTGACTGTAACTAACTAACGTTACTGCATGATTGTAGCGGGTTTACTAACGCATTATTTCTATTATCTATGCTGACTATGACGTTACTTTAGCTAATATGGTGACAATGATATAGGCTGTTTGTAGAGGTTTGGTTTGGAAAGGTTTTTTCGCCTGGTTACATACAGCTGATTTGTTGTGCATTGAAGTCCTCAAGCGAAGGGAAGAGAAGGAATACAACGTGGCTGTTATGAGAGTGAACTCTGTTTACGCGTGATCAGGGGTGTATTCATTCCGCCGATTCTGTTCAATACATTTGTTAAATGGAAGCAAACAGAACAAAACGGGGATAAACATACCTGAATTTGTCCAATAGAAACTCTAATTTGCAACTGTTGGACTAATGATTACACCCTATATTAGCTAGATGCAGGCAAGAGTGTGCAAGGCGGTTTTGAATGTCACTGTCTGTCACCTCAAATTTGTCTCTCGACCTGTGTAAATCTATGTTGTAAACTTTCATTAATTGGCTAGGTTGTAGCAGTAGCAACCTCATGATGGGTATAGGGAACATTTGAGTATCATGTAGTAGACTAAACCTATCGCTGTTACATTGAACTAGGTGTATGAAATATGAATGAGAGTCATCCAATATGCTGTAATAGAAATAAGGCCATGCTCATGAAAAATAATCGTCCTCCCTCATCTTAAACGGCACTGACCGCCACTGGTGTCCACATACTTTGGTACAGCTGAAGTCGGAAGTTTATATACACCTTAGCCAAATACATTTAAACTCAGTTTTTCACAATTCCTGACATTTAATCCTAGTAAAAAATTCCCTGTCTGAGGTCAGTTAGGATCACCACTTTATTTTAAGAATGTGAAATGTCAGAATAATAGTAGAGATAATTATTTATTTCAGCTTTAATTTCTTTCATCATATTCTCAGTGGGTCAGAAGTTTACATACACTCAATTAGTATTTGGTAGCATTGCCTTTAAATTGATTAACTTGGGTCAAACGTTTCGGGTAGCCTTCCACAAGATTCCCACAATAAGTTGGGTGAATTTTGGCCCAATCCTCCTGACAGAGCTGGTGTAACTGAGTCAGGTTAGTAGGCCTCCTTGCTCGCACACGCTTTTTCAGTTCTGCCCACAAATGTTCTATAGGATTGAGGTCAGGGCTTTGTGATGGCCACTCCAATACCTTGACTTTGTTGTCCTTAAGCCATTTTGCCACAACTTTGGAAGTATGCTTGGGGTCATTGTCCATTTGGAAGACCCATTTGCAACCAAGCTTTAACTTCCTGACTGATGTCTTGAGATGTTGCTTCAATATATCCACATCATTTTCCTTCCTCATGATGCCATCTATTTTGTGAAGTGCACCAGTCCCTCCTGCAGCAAAGCACCCCCACAGCATGATGCTGCCATCCCCGTGCTTCACAGTTGGGATGGTGTTCTTCGGCTTGCGAGCAACCCCCTTTTTCATCAGACCAGAGGACATTTCTCCAAAAAGTACGATCTTTGTCCCCATGTGCAGTTGCAAACTGTAGTCTGGCTTTTAATGGTGTTTTTGGAGCAGTGGCTTCTTCCTTGGTAAGCGGCCTTTCAGGTTATGTCGATATAGGACTCGTTATACTGTGGATATAGACACTTTTGTACCTGTTTCCTCCAGCGTCTTCACAAGGTCCTTTGCTGTTGTTCTGGGATTGATTTGCACTTTTCGCACCAAAGTACGTTCATCTCTAGGAGACAGAACGCGTCTCCTTCCTGAGCGGTATGACGGCTGCGTGGTCCCATGGTGTTTATACTTGCGTACTATTGTTTGTACAGATGAACGTGGTACCTTCAGGCGTTTGGAAATTGCTCCCAAGGATGAACCAGACTTGTGGAGGTCTACAATTTCTTTTCTGATTTCTTTTGATTTTCCCATGATGTCAAGCAAAGAGGCACTGAGTTTGAAGGTAGGCCTTGAAATACATCCACAGGTACACCTCCAATTGACTGAAATGATGTCAATTAGCCTGTCAGAAGCTTCTAAAGCCATGACAATCATTTTCTGGAATTTTCCAAGCTGTTTAAAGGCACGGTCAACTTAGTGTATGTAAACTTCTGACCCACTGGAATTGTGATACAGTGAATTATAAGTGAAATAATCTGTCTGTAAACAATTGTTGGAAACCTTACTTGTGTCAGTAGATGTCCTAACCGACTTGCCAAAACTATAGTTTGTTAACAAGACATTTGTGGAGTGGTTGAAAAACAAGTTTTAATGACTCCAACCTACAGTGAGGGGAAAAAAGTATTTGATCCCCTGCTGATTTTGTACGTTTTCCCACTGACAAAGACATGATCAGTCTATAATTTTAATGGTAGGTTTATTTGAACAGTGAGAGACAGAATAACAACAAAAAATCCAGAAAAAAGCATATAAAAAATGTTATAAATTGATTTGCATTTTAATGAGGGAAATAAGTATTTGACCCCTTTGCAAAACATGACTTAGTACTTGGTGGCAAAACCCTTGTTGGCAATCACAGAGGTCAGACGTTTCTTGTAGTTGGCCACCAGGTTTGCACACATCTCAGGAGGGATTTTGTTCCACTCTTCGTTGCAGATCTTCTCCAAGTCATTAAGGTTTCGAGGCTGACGTTTGGCAACTCGAACCTTCAGCTCCCTCCACAGACTTTCTATGGGATTAAGGTCTAGAGACTGGCTAGGCCACTCCAGGACCTTAATGTGCTTCGTCTTGAGCCACTCCTTTGTTGCCTTGGCCGTGTGTTTTGGGTCATTGTCATGCTGGAATACCCATCCACGACCCATTTTCAATGCCCTGGCTGAGGGAAGGAGGTTCTCACCCAAGATTTGACGGTACATGGCCCCGTCCATCGTCCCTTTGATGTGATGAAGTTGTCCTGTCCCCTTAGCAGAAAAACACCCCCAAAGCATAATGTTTCCACCTCCATGTTTGACGGTGGGGATGGTGTTCTTGGGGTCATAGGCAGCATTCCTCCTCCTCCAAACACGGCGAGTTGAGTTGATGCCAAAGAGCTCCATTCTGGTCTTATCTGACCACAACACTTTCACCCAGTTATCCTCTGAATCATTCAGATGTTCATTGGCAAACTTCAGACGGGCATGTATATGTGCTTTCTTGAGCAGGGGACATTGCAGGCGCTGCAGGATTTCAGACCTTCACGGCGTAGTGTGTTATCAATTGTTTTCTTGGTGACTATGGTCCCAGCTGCCTTGAGATCATTGACAAGATCGTCCCGTGTAGTTCTGGGCTGATTCCTCACCGTTGTCATGATCATTGCAACTCCACGAGGTGAGATTTTGCATGGAGCCCCAGGCCGAGGGAGATTGACAGTCTTTTGTGTTTCTTCCATTTGCGAATAATCACACCAACTGTTGTCACCTTCTCACCAAGCTGCTTGGCGATGGTCTTGTAGCCCATTCCAGCCTTGTGTAGGTATACAATCTTGTCCCTGACATCCTTGGAGAGCTCTTTGGTCTTGGCCATGGTGGAGAGTTTGGAATCTGATTGATTGATTGCTTCTGTGGACAGGTGTCTTTTATACAGGTAACAAACTGAGATTAGGAGCACTCCCTTTAAGAGTATGCTCCTAATCTCAGCCCGTTACCTGTATAAAAGACACCTGGGAGCCAGAAATCTTTCTGATTGAGAGGGGTTCAAATACTTATTTCCCTCATTAAAATGCAAATCAATTTATAACATTTTTGACATGCGTTTCTCTGGATTTTTGTTGTTTCTGCCTCTCATTGTTCAAATAAACCTACCATTAATGTTATAGACTGATCATTTCTTTGTCAGTGGGCAAATGTACAAAATCAGCAGGGTATCAAATACTTTTTTCCCTCACTGTAAGTGTATGTAAACTTCCGACTTCAACTGTATAGTGTATATCTTATCTTATCTTATCTTATCTTACACTAATTAACTGCATCAATTTTCCCTTGTAGTCACACCCACTAAACACAGGAATGTCAGCTGGTCCATTGATTTGTCTGCAAACTAGTCCATGACCATCGAACAGATCATGTTTCCATGTTAAATTCCAGCATTTCCCTATGGACTGCTAAGTGGCATGCCAACCATCACACTTAGTGCTCATCAAAGGGAATACAAGGGCAGATGCAAAAATCTTGAACCTAAAAGGAAGTGTTTTTCTCTCTCTGAGCCTATGACAAAGCACACTTTGTTTGGAGATGGGAGGCCAGAATTAAATCGAGCTCCGTGCAGCGAAGGTCACGCATTTGATCTAATAACGGTCACCATGACTGCCAGCCGAAGATGCTAAATATAGGACAAACACCTTCGCTGAACTGTAAATTAAATAACATTGCTACTCCCAGAGTAACGGCTTGGGAACTCTATGCATGTCTAGACTTTAACCATGTACACTGAACCAAAATGTTACCCAACATGCACAAATTTCAAATATTTTACTGAGTTATAGTTCACATAAGAAAATCAGTCATTTGAAATAAATTCATTAGGCCCTAATCTATGGATTTCACATGACTGGTAATACAGATATGCATCTGTTGGTCACAGATACCTTAAAAAAAGTAGGTGCATCGATCAGAAAACCAGTCAGTATCTGGTGTGAACACCATTTTGCCTCACATCTCCTTCGCATAGAGTTGATCAGGCTGTTGATTGTGGAATGTTGTCCCACTCCTATGCAATGGCTGTGCAAAGTTGCTGGATATTGGCGGGAACTGGAACACACTGTCGTACACGTCGATCCTGAGCATCCCAAACATGCTGAATGGGTGACATGTCTGGTGAGTATGCAGGCCATGGAAGAACTGGGACATTTTCAGCTTCCAGGAATTGTGTACAGATCCTTGTGACATGGGGCCGTGCATTATCATGCTGAAACATGAGGTGATGGCGGCGGATGAATGGCACGACAATGGCTCTCAGGATCTCATCACGGTATCTCTGTCCATTCAAATTGCCATCAATAAAATGCAATTGTGTTTCATTGTCCGTTGCTTATGCTTGCCCATACCATAACCCCCGCGGCACCATGGGGCACTCTGTTCACAACGTTGACATCAGCAACCCGCTCGTCCACACAACACCATACACGCTGTCTGCTATCAGCCCTGTACAGTTGAAACTGTGATTCATTCATGAAGAGCACACCTCTTCAGCGTGCCAGAGGCCAACGAAGCTGAACATTTGCCCACCTTTAGTCTGTTACGATGCCGAACTGCAGTCAGGTCAAGACCCTGGCGAGGACGACGAGCAGATGAGCTTCCCTGAGATGGTTTCTGACAGTTTGTGCAGAAGTCAGCTGTCTGGGTGGCTGGTCTCAGACGATCCTGTAGGTGAAGAAGCTGGATGTGGAGGTCCTGGGCTGGCGTGGTTACACGTGGTCAGCGGTTGTGAGGCCGGTTGGACTTACTGCCAAATTCTCTAAAATGACGTTGGAGGCGGCTTATGGTAGAGAAATGAACATTAATTTCTCTGGCAACAGCTCTGGTGGACATTCCTGCCAATTGCGCGCTCCCTCAAAACAAAAATATAAATCTGTTGCATTGTGTTGTGTGTCCCCAGCACAAAGTGCACCTGTGTAATGATCATGCTGTTTAATCAGCTTCTTGATATGCCGCACATGTCAGGTGGATGGATTATCTTGGCAAAGGAGAAACGCTCACTAACAGGGATGTAAAATAATCTGAGAGAAATAGGCTTTTTGTGCATATGGAACATTTCTGGGATCTTTTATTTCAGCTCATGAAACATGGACCAACACTTTACATGTTGTGTAATATTTTTGTTCAGTGTATAATTAACTACAATCAAATATGTGTGCTGTATGGGCAGGTGAAAGACAGAAAGTAGTTGAACCTGTTCTGTGTGTTGATGTGTAGCCTAGTACCCTTTTCCTGCTCTCTACTTGTATCATTGCCTTTGTGACATGTTTCCACATCAAACTTTACTAGTGAGACTAAGTGCATCCCTCTTGCTGTGCAGTAATGCCAGAGCTTGCTAGTATTTATCTTGCCATCCTAAGGCCAATGGTGAGGTGCAGTCCTCTGGTGTCACTGATAAACCTTGCTGTCTCCAACCCTCTCATCCATTCCCTTATTGCTATAGCAACTTATAGTCACTAATAGTTTCCAGAGCAACTAGTCCAGGAGTTATAGAGAGGTGCGACAAGTGCGAGACATCAGTCTGGAATCATGTAGAGCAGGGTATCCCAAACTCAGTCCTCAGAAACCCAAGGGGTGCACATTTTGTTTTTTGCCCTAGCACTACACAGCTGATTAAAATAATCAACCAATCATCAAGCTTTGATCATTTGAAACAGCTGTGTAGTGTTAGGGAAAAAAACTAAATGTGCACCCCTTAGGGTTCTGAGGACTGAGTTTGGGATACTAAATTAGTTTTAGGGCACTTTTACTTCATAGCCCTTTATAGATTGTAGTACTTATTTGCAAGCAAGTTATCATATTGCGGTTAAGTAATTGAATAGCATTAGATGAGTAGAGCTTTGTTCTGATGCTTTTGCATATGTGGATGAGAATGACAGCTGAGTGTGGGTTGGTTGATAGGGTTCTGTCTCAGTCTGGCCATATGACTGATATTAATTAGGCAGTCCTTTGAAATACACAGTGACACTAAAACAACATTCTTTAACCAGGCGTGGTCGTGGTCCCTTGGTACAGACAGAGAGAGAAATCCCTGAAATGTCTCTCTGGTTGCGATTATACCAGGCATATGCTGAATTCCAGGTATACCAATCCCTGGACAAGATTGGATTAGATATGGACCACATTTCACCGGATACAAATCTCTCACCTCTGGTAGCTTTTAATATAAAAATACTTAATTTTGTGCTTAGGCACTATATATTGTTTATTTTGCTAAAGCATATTTTGAGGGATCAGAAAGCACTGACAAAACATTTATGCTGAATCCAGGCCATATACAGTGTATTCTAAAAGTATTCAGACCCCTTGACTTTTTCCACATTTTGTTACGTTACAGCCTTATTCTAAAATTGATTAAATTCTTATTTTTCCTCATCAATCTACACACAATACCCCATAACGACAAAGAAAAAACAGGTTGTTAGAAATTGTTGCTAATTTATATATGTAAAAAAAATGAAATATGACATTTACATAAGTATTCAGACCCTTTACTCAGTACTTTGATGAAGCACCTTTGGCAGCGATTACAGCCTCGAGTCTTCTTGGGTATGACGCTACAAACTTGGCACACCTGTATTTGGGGAGTTTCTCCCATTCTTCTCTGCAGATCCACTCAAGCTCTGTCAGGTTGGATGGTGAGCGTCACTGCACAGCTATTTTCAGGTCTCTCCAGAGATGTTTGATCGGGTTCAAGTCCGAGCTCTGGCTGGGCCACTCAAGGACATTCAGAGAGTTGTCCCGAAGCCACTCCTGCGTTGTCTTGGCTGTGTGCTTAGGGTCATTGTCCTGTTGGAAGGTAAACCTTCGGCCCAGTCTGAAGTCCTGAGCGCTCTGGAGCCGGTTTTCATCAAGGATCTCTCTGTACTTTGCTCCGTTCATCTTTCCCTCGATCCTGACTAGTCTCCCAGTCTCTGCCGCTGTAAAACATCCACATCATGATGCTGCCATCACCATGCTTCTCCGTAGGGATGGTGCCAGGTTTCCTCCAGACGAGATGCTTGGCATTCAGGCCAAAGAGTTCAATCTTGGTTTCATCAGACCAGAGAATCTTGTTTCTCATGGTCTGAGAGTCCTTTAGATGCCCTTTGGCAAACAACAAGCGGGCTATCATGTGCCTTTTACTGAGGAGTGGCTTCCGTCTCGCCACTCTACCATAAAGGCCTGATTGGTGGAGTACTGCAGAGATGTTTATCCTTCTGGAAGGTTCTCCCATCTCCACAGAGGAACTCTAGCGCTCCGTCAGAGTGACCATCGGGTTCTTAGTCACCTCCTTGACCAACGCCCTTCTCCCTGATTGCTCAGTTTGGCCAGGCGTCCGGCTCTAGGAGAGTCTTGGTGGTTCCAAACTTCTTCCATTTAGGAATGATGGAGGCCACTGTGTTCTTGGGGAAATGTTTTGGTACCCTTCCCCAAATCTGTGCCTCAACACGATCCTGTCTCGGAGCTCTACGGATAATTCCTTCAACCTTATGGCTTGGTTTTTGCTCTGACATGCAATGTCAACTGTGGGACCTTATATAGACAGGTGTGTGCCTTTCCAAATCATGTCCAATCAAATGAATTTACCACAGGTGGACTCCAATCAAGTTGTAGAAACATCTCAAGGATGATCAATGGAAACAGGATGCACCTGAGCTCAATTTCGAGTCTCATAGCAAAGGGTCTGAATACTTATGTATATAAGGTATTTCTGTTTTTAATTTTCTATACATTTGCAAAAAAATCTAAAAACCTGTTTAACTTTGTCATAATAGGGTATTGTGTGTAGATTAATGAGGATTTGTATTTATTTAATCCATTTTAGAATAAGGCTGTAACGTAACAAAATGTAGAAAAAGTGAAGGGGTCTGAATACTTTCCGAATGCACTGTATGTCAGTTTCAAAAGTTGGAAATGTTTGAATATTTAATCAGCTACGGTTCAGCACTGACGAAGTCAGGTGATGGCTTTGTGTTGGTTTCCTATTCTGCCTGTGACTGTCATGGTTCAGTCAACTGTCAGAGTTTCCCGAGCTAGCCTCCCTAATGGCTTGGGGATAGAGGAAACTGAGAGGTGGACTGGGCTAGTTAGGGCACAAACCACAGAGAAATGGAGAGTAGCCTATGTGAGGCCATTGTCCTGCAGGATAGGGCCATAGGCAGCGTCTTCAGTTTCCTGTGCTGTGGTGCATTATTCATAGAGGACATGCCTATGTGGCGGAAGCAAGCAGCAGCGGCTGCAGTAGGAAGAGTGGCAGTGAAAGAGCTAGGCCTGTGTTTGTGTGTGTGTGTCTGTGCTGACTCCTCAGTCCTCAACATTATGAAAGCACACAGGCTTAGCTCTTTCCTCTCTAGTCTGTTTCCGTGCACACACACACTTGCACACACACAAGGTCATTCATTAACGTTGCCATCACGACAGACATAACGCAGTCCCTCAGCCTCCCTTTATCTCACCAAAGTCTCAGTTGCAGAGCTGTGGAAGTAGGCTTGGGCGATATACCGTTTATTCCGCACACCGGGGTATTTCGAAATATCGACGGTATGATTTTAATGCTGTAAATAACAATAATAATTGTAAAAAAATGCTGGGGGGGGGGGGGTTGGGGGCACCCCCGCCTCACAGGGGCTGTGGGGGTGCATGCTACGCCAGTCCTTATACAGTGCATTCAGAAAGTATTCAGACCCCTTGACTTTTTCAACATTTTGTTACGTAACAGACTTATTCTAAAATTGATTACATCGTTTTTTCCCTCATCAATCTACACATAATATCCCATAATGACAAAGCAAAAACAGGTTTTTAGAAATGTTTGCAAATGTATTACAAATAAAAACCGGAATATCACATTTACCTAAGTATTCAGTACTTTGTTGAAGCTCCTTTGGCAGCGATTACAGCCTCGAGTCTTCTTGGGTATGACGCTACAAGCTTGGCACACCTGTATTTGGGGAGTTTCTCCCATTCTTCTCTGCAGATCCTCTCAAGCTCTGTCAGGTTGAATGTGGAGTGTCGTTGCACAGCTATTTTCAGGTCTCTCCAGAAATGTTAAATCGGGTTCAAGTCCGGGCTCTGGCTGGGCCACTCAAGGACATTCAGAGACTTGTCCCGAAGCCACTCCTGCGTTGTCTTGGCTGTGTGCTTAGGGTTATTGTCCTGTTGGAAGGTGAACCTTCGCCCTAGTCTGAGGTCCTGAGCGCTCTGGAGCAGGTTTTCATCAATGATCTCTCTGTACTTTGCTCTGTTCATCTTTCCCTCGATCCTGACTAGTCTCCCAGTCCCTGCTGCTGAAAAACATCCCCACAGCATGATGCTGCCACCACCATGCTTCACCGTAAGGATGGTGCCAGGCTTTCTCCAGACGTGACGCTTGGCATTCAGGCCAAAGAGTTCAATCTTGGTTTCATCAGACCAGAGAATCTTGTTTCTCATGGTCTGAGAGTCCTTTAGGTGCCTTTTGGCAAATAACAAGCGGGCTGTCATGTATTTTACTGAGGAGTGGCTTCCGTCTGGCCACTCTACCATAAAGGCCTGATTGGTGGACTGCTGCAGAGATGGTTGTCCTTCTGGAAGGTTCTCCCATCTCCACAGAGGAACTCTAGCGCTCTGTCAGAGTGACCATCGGGTTCTTAGTCACCTCCTTGACCAAGGCCCTTCTCCCTGATTGCTCAGTTTGGCCAGGCGTCCGGCTCTAGGAGAGTCTTGGTGGTTCCAAACTTCTTCCATTTAGGAATGATGGAGGTCACTGTGTTCTTGGGGACCTTCAATGCTGCAGAAATGTTTTGGTACCCTTCCCCAAATCTGTGCCTCAACACAATCCTGTCTCGGAGCTCTACGGATAATTCCTTCAACCTTATGGCTTGGTTTTTGCTCTGACATGCAATGTCAACTGTGGGACCTTATATAGACAGGTGTGTGCCTTTCCAAATCATGTCCAATCAAATGAATTTACCACAGGTGGACTCCAATGAAGTTGTGGAAATATCTCAAGGAAGATCAATGGAAACAGGATTCACCTGAGCTCAATTTCGAGTCTCATAGCAAAGGGTCTTAATACAGGTATTTTCTTATTTATTTTTCATATAAATGTGCAACATTTTCTAAAACCTGTTTTTGTTTTGTCATAATGTGGTAGTGTGTGTATTTTGATGAGGATTTTTATTTATTTAATCCATTTTAGAGTAAGGCTGTAACGTAACAAAATGTGGAAAACGTGAAGGGGTCTGAATTCTTTCCAAATGCACTGTAACTATAAGTTACGAATAACTGTAAGAAATCTAAGATTTGTCAAATAAATTATATCCAGCTCAGGGTTCCAGCTATGCATTTGGTTTGCTAACTAGCTAGCTAAGTGGCTAGATGTCAAGATCAAGCTTCTTGGTTATCGCAGAGACATTCAATCCCTACCTGGATCAAGATTCTTGTTGCGTAAATTGTTTTGTGCGTCAAGACAATTTATACTTTTTTGGGGTGTATAGCGCCCCTTGTGTGCACTTTCGGTAATACTGTATACCCTCGGTATGGTACAGAAACGGTATGACGGTATGAAAATCTGTATACCGCCCAACCCTAGTGGGAAGGATAAACATCTGGGTCTGGACAGTGAGACAATATATTCTGGCTTGTGTAAGTGCTCCTCACATCTATCGTTGCAATGGCACTGTATTATGGAGTTAAACAGTGTATACAGAGAGACAGTACTAGCCGGCACTGTTGACCCCTATGACAGGGTGTGTGTGGAGTGGATATATAGAGTATCAGCTGGTTGACCTCACATCTGTTAGTGCTTTAAGTGTTTAAAGTGGTTTAAAAGGACATTTTATTGCCTTCAGTAATGATTCACCAGCCTAATCTAGTATTTACGATTCAATGCATTTGTAGGATTCTGCACATTCTATAGAATTATACTAAATCGTTACAATATTACACACAAATATCTATTTAGAAGAGATTTGACATCTGTGATATCAATTTGGACTGATTAAAGATTCAACTCTTGGACCGTGACCCTATAATTCAACACTGCTAGTATTTTCTTTAAAAAGATGTGTAAGTACACGTTTACCATGTAAATGGCAGGTGTACAGGGGCTGTAAAGTAAAATGTAAACTAAGATAGTGGATAATAAAGAAAAGCATAACCAGAGATCCATGTCTCCTATTACTCCCCAGATACCTGTTGGAGCAGGATTTCCCTGGCATGCGGATCGGGCCGGAGCCCACCACAGACTCCTTCATTGCAGTGATGCATGGAGACACGGAGGGGCTGATCCCTGGCAATGCCCTGGTGGTCGACCCCAAGAAACCCTTCAGGAAGCTCAACGCCTTCGGAAACGCCTTTCTCAACAGGTGAGACTATAGCAGTCCACATATAGTGTTTGAATTCATCTAAATAGATGGATGACTCATGTTTGTATACAGCAAATGAAAAGCTCACTGTTACGGGTTGTTTTTAGTTTCCTTATCAAAGATGGAAGGGTGAATGTTCAGTAACTTATTAGCGTTGAATATGAATACTGTGCATCAAAGATGGTTGTTTTTTGAGTTCCACATTTTAAAGGCCCCTGGGAGAATACGTTTTTCAAACTTGCTTTGAGTTTGTTGCTCAATTGCCCAAAACAATTATCTGGAACTCTTCTAGTGAGTCATGTGAGTGTTTCTCTGTGCTCCTGCTGAGTTTCAAATAAGTGTCAGATTACCATTTAATTTGACATTTCAATTCATTTTGGAATACTCGCAGTGCTTTGATTTATGTAGGGAAGCAATGTAAGTTGCTTAGCTTACAGGTCCCATGTAGCTCAGTTGGTAGAGCATGGCGCTTGCAACGCCAGGGTTGTGGGTTCGATTCCCACGGGGGACCAGTATGAAAAATTTATGCACTCACTAACTGTAAGTCGCTCTGGATAAGAGCGTCTGCTAAATGACTAAAATGTAAATGCCAAAGTATGAAATATTTCTCTGTTGGCATGAAACTCACCGTCCTTGAGAAAAGGAAAGGGAGGGAGGTGCGAGAGTGAAAATTAAGTTTAGCCTTTCTCAACGGTAGCTGTGTTTACTATGTCACAGGATTATATCATGTCACAGGATGATATCATGGCACGAGGAGAGACTCCTGAACCTGCTACACAAGCTCTACATTCCACCTCTGATTGAATTTCCCTCTGCTCACCGCCCAGGGTTTCCCCTTTGCGGCAGACTGTCAGTGGGTCTGTTTACCCTTATCATCTGATGTGTGTGTGTTGTACATACCTCACACCTCGCTCTGGGTAAGGGCTCGCTGCTTGCTGCTCGCTGCCTTATTAACTATAAAGGGTTTCTTAATTATGCCATTCATACTTTGGATCACAAGAGGGTGAGGGAGCAATCCACTTAGGGTTTCAACTGTCAGGCTGTGGTCTCATAGCGTGTTTCCTGAGGGAGATGCTATGAACACATGGTTTGTGATGGTTTCTGCAGGTGGCTCTGACAATGTTAAGTAGCATAACAAATGTGTGGAGTAAGGGTTATTAGGGTTCTTGGCGTACGGCCGCTGTTTGTTGTGCAAATCTGCAGATCATACCACACAGGAAGTATACAGAAAGTTGGCTTGGCTCAGAAAACAGTTTGAAACAGATAACAATGTGTATAATGCACGTTCCCCAAGCGAAGTGAAGAGTCCAAGAGTAAAGGGTAGAGTTCAGCTCAACTATGTATCTAACATTCTGATTTATTATCAGTTGTATTTCCATCAGTGTGAACATGTTTCCATAGATAAGAAACAGCCAATCTCACAGTTGTAACCTGGTTAAATGTCAAACATTACCAGTTGCCTTTTCGAATCCTAAGACTAACTTGGTCAATACTTTATTTTACATGAAGAACAGCTGACTATCTGTCTGTGTGTCTATGTGTCAGTCTGTGAGTATTTGTCTTATGTCCGTCTGACTCTTTTTCTGTGTCTGATTTGATCATGTAGGCTCTGTAATTCTTCGGTGTTGGGCTATCTATCTGACCATGTCTATGGCCATGTCTGTGTGTCCTGTAGGTTTGTGTGTGCCCAGCTGCCCAACCCTGTTCTGGAGAGCATCAGTGTGATTGATACTCCTGGTATCCTGTCTGGAGAGAAGCAGAGGATCAGCAGAGGTACGGCTCTCAACCTCTCCACCCCTCTCTCAACCTCTCCACCCCTCTCTCAACCTCTCCACCCTTCTCTCAACCCCTCAACCCCTCTGTCAACCCCTCCACCCTTCTCTCAACCCCTCAAACCCTCTCTCCCTCAACCACTCCACCCCTATCTCCACCTATCTCTCTACCCCTCCATCCCTTACAATCCCTCCACCCCTCTCTTTACCCCTCTCTCAACCCCTCCACCCCTCTCTCCACCCCTCTACCCTTCTCTCAATCCCTCCACCCTCCCTCAACCACTTCACCCCTATCTCCACCCCTCCCTCAACCCCTCCACCCCTCTCCCCTCTGCCCACCCCTCTACCCTTCTTTCAACCCCTCCATTCTCCCTCAACCACTCCACCCCTATCTCCACCCCTCTCTCAACCGCTCCTTCCCTTACAGTCCCTCCTCCCCTCTCTCCACCTGTGCTGTTGAACCCACTGATACATTTGCATAACCCGTTCTGGTTCAAAACATCCAGTGTGATTCTGGCTTCCACACTTCTTAAACCACTTCTGTAATTACTCTATTAACATTTTCCAGGACACGTTTGAATCTTCATTCCCATAGGGTTCCTATGTTTGTGGTGAAAATAGCAAGCAAGCTTCAGATATCCTGCTTCTCTGTGACTGACCTTTTATTCATTCACTGTATGGGCAGTCAGAGAAACGTGTAGCTGTGGCAGTGTTTTAATCTGCATTCAATCATGATGTGTTGAAAGACACCAGAGATCAGAGTGAGATGCTCTATGCGACACCTCTATGTTTATAGGACTGTGTAACATGGTCCAGCAGCTCTTCCCACATGAATTCCAGTAAACAGTAAAGACCATTGTCTGTTAGTCTCTGAGTACACTCTGCTTAATCCTAAAAAAAATCAGTGTTTTATTTCACTGATGACTCTCATAGGGGTTTCAAAGCTGCAAGGTATGTAAATACACCTTCAGTTATGTCCTCTGGTATTCTGAATGTATCTGTGGTTCTGGGGATGGCAAAGTGGACAGTGGAGTAGTGATCAATGTCACCATGATGTCACAGTGTTCCAGCCCTCTTATCAACAAGGACATCAGGACTCTGCAGTGGACAGATACAGTGAAGGAAAAAAGTATTTGATCCCCTGCTGATTTTGTATGTTTGCCTACTGACAAAGAAATGATCAGTCTATAATTTTAATGGTAGGTTTATTTGAACAGTGAGAGACAGAATAACAAAAAATCCAGAAATACGCATGTCAAAAATGTTATAAATTGATTTGCATTTTAATGAGGGAAATAAGTATTTGACCCCTCTGTAAAACATGACTTAGTACTTGGTGGCAAAACCCTTGTTGGCAATCACAGAGGTTAGACGTTTCTTGTAGTTGGCCACCAGGTTTGTACACATCTCAGGAGGGATTTTGTTCCACTCCTCTTTGCAGATCTTCTCCAAGTCATTAAGGTTTCGAGGCTGACGTTTGGCAACTCGAACTTTCAGCTCCCTCCACAGATTTTCTATGGGATTAAGGTCTGGAGACTGGCTAGGCCACTCCAAGACCTTAATGTGCTTCTTCTTGAGCCACTCCTTTGTTGCCTTGGCCGTGTGTTTTGGGTCATTGTCATGCTTGAATACACATCCACGACCCATTTTCAATGCCCTGGCTGAGGGAAGGAGGTTCTCACCCAAGATTTGACGGTACATGGCCCCGTCCATTGTCCCTTTGATGCAGTGAAGTTGTCCTGTCCCCTTAGTTGAAAAACACCCCCAAAGCATAATGTTTCCACCTCCATGTTTGACGGTGGGGATGGTGTTCTTGGGGTCATAGGCAGCATTCCTCCTCCTCCAAACACGGCAAGTTGAGTTGATGCCAAAGAGCTCCATTTTGGTCTCATCTGACCACAACACTTTCACCCAGTTCTCTTCTGAATCATTCAGATGTTCATTGGCAAACTTCAGATGGGCCTGTATATGTGCTTTCTTGAGCAGGGGGACCTTGCGGGCGCTGCAGGATTTCAGTCCTTCATGGCGTAGTGTGTTATCAATTGTTTTCTTGGTGACTATGGTCCCAGATGCCTTGAGATGATTGACAAGATCCTCCCGTGTAGTTCTGGGCTGATTCCTCATTAATCATGATCATTGCAACTCCACAAGATGAGATCTTGCATGGAGCCTCAGGCCGAGGGAGATTGACAGTCTTTTGTGTTTCTTCCATTTGCGAATAATCGCACCAACTGTTGTTACCTTCTCACCCAGCTACTTCGCGATGGTCTTGTAGCCCATTCCAGCCCATTCTTGTCTGTGGACAGGTGTCTTTTATACAGGTAACAAGCTGAGATTAGGAGCACTCCCTTTAAGAGTGTGCTCCTAATCTCAGCTCGTTACCTGTATAAAAGACACCTGGGAGCCAGAAATCTTTCTGATTGAGAGGGGGTCAAATACTTATTTCCCTCATTAAAATGTAAATCAATTTATAACATTTTTGACATGCGTTTTTCTGGATTTTTTTGTTGTTATTCTGTCTCTCACTGTTCAAATAAACCTACCATTAAAATTACAGACTGATAATTTCTTTGTCAGTGGGCAAACGTACAAAATCAGCAGGGGATCAAATACTTTTTTCCCTCACTGTATGGTGCTTATCACTTAGCCTAGCAGGCTGCCATAGGCTGCCCCCCCCCCCCCCCACACACACACACCCCCCCACACACACACACACAAAAATGACATACAACCTCTCGGGTGGCCCTCTATACTCTTAGAAAAAAGGGTTATTCGGCTGTCCCCATAGGATAACCCTTTTGGTTTCCATGTAAAACTCTTTGTGGAAAGCATTGTTCATGGAACCCAAAAGGGTTCCATCTGCAACCAAAAAAGTTATTCAAAGGGTTCTCCTATGGGGACAGCCGAAGAACCCTTTTAGGTTCTAGATAGCACCTTTCTTTCTAAGATTGTACAGACATAAACACTCTCTGGAAGTACCTGGATAGAGTGGATTATCAACATTGTATGTACTGAGATATGTACATGATGCATTACCTTTTCCTTTAGTGTGTGCCAATGTTTCCCTCACTCTTGTCTTTTCCCTGATGATAGATGTCACAGTGAGAGATGCAAATGGAAATTCTTAGAATCCTCAGAGGTGATTGAACGGAAGTATGTCTTGGCACACGCGACACACCAATATTCCGGAAAAAGGGCCTCCTTGTTCCATGTCAGGGAGAGAGAAGCGAGAGTAACTCTGGCTTCCTCTGAACCAGTCCAGTCTCATTCCTCCCTACAGGGTCAGGGTTATCTCCAGCTGATACCTGCCTGCTGAGGACTCCTACCCTACTGTACCTTAGCTCTCATCTCACCTTACTGCTACACCTCTACTCTTCTTCTTTATTCTACTATATCACGCTGTGCTGTGCTCTTCTTCTCTGCTCTATTAACTTTTTTCTGATTTCTTTTCTCTCCCTCACTTTCTGAGACCCATAAAACCTTACCTCATGACTGTATACTCTACTGAAGCCAAGTCTATAGGACATGGGGTGTGGCAGATAGATGTGTGCCTCTGTGTTTGCATCAGGCTCAACTAGGTTGTAATCTCCAGCCAATCTCTGCTCTCTGGACTCTGTGTCCATGTCCTCCTGTTTGTCTTGTGTATGGTTGGTAACTTCATTCCACATTCAGCAAAAGTCCATCACCCACCCGATAGCCCACGGTAATCACCCAGCCGTCAGCACTTTCCTTTGGGCTGCCGGTTTGTGTGTGTGTGTGTGTGGTGCAGTGGTGTGGTAGCATGTGGGTCTGTGGTGCTGTGTAGCGTGAGCTAACGGTCCAGTCGGACTAGGGCTCATTCAGGGGAGCAGAGAGGACAGAGGAAGCAGAGAGAGAACCCAGCTTTAGAGCTATACACAGTCAGAAGCAGAGCCCCTACATACAGAGAAACTCCAATGTCGTCACATAAGCACAAAAGTCCAGTAAACTGTGTAACATACTTTTTGCCACAACCAAACTCAAGAGCTTATGGAGCCAAATTGTATGCAGCAGTCTATGCAGATGTTGTCATTGAATATGTATTCAAATTAAGAGCATTTACTAGTGAAATCAGTCACTGTTTTGGCACTGCTGGAAATGCTTGAATGACTGTAATGTGCTGAGGATCTTACTTTGTATAGTCAAGTAGTTCCTATTTTGCTGTCACAGAGTTGTCTATTAGGCACAAAATTGTGCATACATGAACTTGCAGAATGCACACTGCTGGTTGGGTATATAGAGTCTAGAGTTAAAGTATAGGGACTCTAACTTGGCGTCATCAAAAGCCTGTGATTGCAGGTTACTGCTTGTTTGTTCTCTCCTATAATTTGGCCCTGTTGTTATTGGTGATGCACTTGTGCCTTTCATACCCCTAAAGCATTCTTAACAGGAAGTGAGCATGTCCCAAAGCCGATGTTAACCAAGTGGCCCCCAAAAACCACTCTCATGTGTGTTATACTGGGTATTCATGTACTCTTGGACTCAGTTTGAGTTTCCTGGGTATCTAAGGGTGTTTTCACATATAGTCCTCTTTAAAAGAGCCGATCTCAGTCCTTTTTAAAGTGAACTCTGGGATAAAGAAAAAGCAAAATAACTTGGTTCTCTTTTTATTCACACCGCCCTTGCCTTTGAATGAGGACTCACATTTTTTGACAGTTCACTTCACCTATTTTGTGGTCCGAGTTCTCTTTGCCTTCACATTGCTATGTTTAGAAAGGATGGTTAGTGCTATCCGGGCTCTTTGGGACGTCCCTACCCTAGATCCTAACCCTAACCTTAACCCATACCCTGACCTTAACCATTTTAAAATAAACAGCTTATGAAGCTTTCTTAGCCTATACTAGATCACATATTGCAAACAAATAATCAGAAATTCGTGTCAGTACAAAACTCCACACATATTTTGGAATTTCTGTGCATCCTTGACAATCGCTTATCAATATCCAAAAACAGCACGTGTTTTTCCACTAACCTGCACATCA